CTAGATAATTCTTCGAATGAGAGATCCTATCCTACAACGGTTGGACTCAAACAAGAGCTACATAATAGAGCTAGATGTAACCATCTGAAATTATTTAGTCCTCACAATATGTAACTTAACATATTCATTTACTAGTTAGTAAAAGACAACTAGAACTCCTAAAATCACAAAGCAAGCAACATTCGAGCATTGAGTAAACATAATCAAGCATATACTAAGCAGGCCATCATATTGATTAATATGTACTACCATGCAGTTTATAAAGCTGATACACATATAACAGTCACATAATGCATCCTTCCTAGATCTTTAGCCCTAATCTAGCATGCAGTTCTCTTAACATATCATAACATAAACTTGTATGAGTAAGTTGGGAGTACTTACTTGAGTTCGACTGATTACATGCACCACACCCATTTCTCTTTTTCTAAATTCATTCTGCTTTTCTAAAACTCTTTTCTATTTCTGAAAGTCTTTTTTATAAAAATGATTTTCTTTTGAAAATTTTCATACCAAGTCCTCAGTTTGAGCTCAGACACACCTGGGAATGTGCCTGAATCCTTCAAACCAAGGCTTTAATAGCAACTTGAAACATCCCAAAAATATAGTTAAAAAATTTCCTTTTAAATCATTAAATAAAAACCCATAACTCATAAAACAACATAATAAAATCACTTGTTGTGTATCTCAAAATTTATACCAAAATACTATATCAAAACCATGTATCAAAATATCATAGTCTAAATATCTCAGGCTAAGAACTGTGGTGTGTACCATGCAGTCATCCTGAGCTTTTCCCCTTGCTACCTGAAGTACCTGAAACCAAAACTGGAAACTTTAATCACGAAGCTTAGTGAGTCTTCCCAAACTACCACATACCATACAAATAATCACATAATAGCATATACTGTCCCTTGCCTACTACATCGGGCCCTGCCCGACATTGGACGAATTCGGCATCGGGCCCCGCTCGGTATCAGACCGAATTCTGATATACATTAACATAACAACAATCATATAACCCATAAACATATAAAGCTTCCTCAGGCTTGCTCCGGCATCGGACCGAAGTCTGGAACACATAACACATGACATATAAACTAAATTTTCATCGAGCTTGCCCCGACATTAGATCAAATTACGGAAGATATAACACATAACATATAAACTAAAACTTCATCATGCATTCCCGGCATCGGACCGAAATCCGGAATACATAAACAAGTACTTGTAAGAATCACGAAGACATCAAGCATACAAACATTCCTCGGGCTTGCCCCGACATCGAATATTCGGACCGAAGTCCTGAACATATAAGCTACATCAGGCTATCCCTGGCATCAGACCTAAGTCCGGCATACGCTAACATACCTAAACGGGCCAAAATTGGTGTCGTCAACACATTCCTAATGGAGGAAAACTCACCTCACACTGCTGAAGTCCCGCAGACAAAACCATAGCTGCTGGATGACAGATTCTCGAATCTGTCAGCATCAAAATAACACCCACTTAATAATTGGGTTCCAACACATATCCATAAGTCCATGCTTGGGGTAAAAGACTACTTTACCCCTATCTTAGCTTGATTCAAGCCCAAGGCCTAATCCAAAGGCCCAAAAGTCTAATAATGAACCAAGGCCCAACTATAGCCCAATTTTCCAAATTAGGCCCAAACCTCTATACGGTCTTACCCTAAGGCCCAACCATTTAGTCTAGTCTAAGCGTTAGCATTCTAATGGCCATATATCTCACAATCATAAAGGCCCAATTATGGCCCACCTATCGCCTAATTTTCCAAATTGGCCCCAAACCTTCACATGGGCCTTACCCTAAAGCCCATCCAATTATTCTAGTCCATATAATTATTCTTGGATGACCCATTATTGGCCCAACCACTAAAGCCCAATAGAAAGGCCCAACTTAAGGCCCAAGTGAAATTAGGGTTTTCACATAAAATGACGATTAGGGTTAAGTGTTTCCTACTTAATCCATTAAGTCCATCAATCTATTGGGTCAATCATGCAGTGTGGACGGGCTTAATACATAATCCCAATCCGGTCATTAAAAATGCGAGTACCGACAATCCAAAACCCATATATATATATATATATATATATATATATATATATATATATATATATCCAAAATTAGGGTTTTTCTAAACCATAATTAGGGTTTCCAACCCAGTCATAGCCTAGCAGGCCCAAAACTAAGTCTTTAGATCAATTAGGGTTTTATTAGGCCCACTAGGATTTAATTAGTCAGGTACCACCCACTATGACCTCGGGTAGTGGTGGTCAACGACGGCGGTCACCACCTCACGGTGGTGGTTTTGGTTCTAGTCTATATTTGTCCAAGTATTCCAACTGAATTCTAAACGCAAACAAAGCACACCGCCACCCAACACGACGGCTAATGGCGGCAGGAGGCGGCAGCCACCACCTCACGTTGTTGGTTATGAGTTTTCTTTTCATTATTTCATCACCGAGTACAATTTTACAATGCTATACCCTAAAATAAACACACACACACAATGATAAACACCTTAAAAAACACACACACACACATAGCCACCCTTGTGGTGGCCGGTGGTGGTACATGCTGGCAGCCACCACCTGACGGTGGTGGTGGTGGTGGTTGTTCTTGGTTTTCCGGCCAAACAAACCACACACCTATAGCTGAAACACGCACAAAAAATACGTCTCTTTCTTGGGAATGAACACGAACACCCACCTCACGGTGGCGTACGCAGGTCCAACAACAACAAAAACATAGCGTCTGATGGCAACAACAGTGACACAACTGCGACCATAGCGTTTGGTAGCCGCCCACGTCGGTCCACGAATCCTCACCAGAAAACGCACATGCCAACATTTCTTCTCTGCTACATCCAGACGACACATCCCCTTCACGAGTCCACAAGCTCAGCCACCATTTCTCGGTGGCATAAGAGCATTCACGGTGACATCTTGGTCTTCAATGAAACCAAGCAGTGGCATTAGTGCATTTCAATGGCGAAGGAGCGGCGCTAGTGGGCTCGGCAGCGCAGTGGCGGCTGGATGACTTCCACCTTCGGTTGCTACTTAAGGAGGAGAAGAAGAGGAAGAATGGTGGACGTTCGGTGGCCGCTAGGTGGTCGAAACAATGAACTAGATGGATGGTGACGGCGGCCGGCGACTAGGAGGTATAAGGTGGTGGCGGGTGTTATCATTTAGGGTTAGGGTTTCTAATGCACTTAAATATATATATGGAAGCTGCATGAGGGGGGGGGGGGGATGTGACGGGTGTAACCCGTGTTTCATCAAAATTCTGTCCATTTTAACAATATCGGCCACTTCCTACCGGATCTTTTCCAATTTAAACTCAAATATTACCTTTTAGCCCCTGCCTCTATAAAATCTTCTCAACTTAAACCAATACTTACCATTCAGCCCGTAGCTTCCAACATCTCTTCAAATTAAGTCCCAATAATTTACCAAGTATTCCCTGCCTTCTCAAATATTTACAAAACCAATTCAGAACTTACAATTTTAACCCCTAACTTCTAAATTATGCCAGTTATCACCTCGAAACCAACACCTTGCTATGTAATTATTTATTTCAGGGAAACTATTCGTTCATTACCTCTTCTATTTATTTAGTTAATGAGCGGGGTGTTACAACTCTCCCCCAATTAAATTAGATTTCATCCTCGAAATCATTCCTTACCATTCCTTACACGCTAAACCACTTAAGTAACATGGCCACAACTTTAGGTATAGCCTAGCCTTCCTAGGATAGCCATGACCAACCTTCGCAAGGCCCTAAAATCTGCAGATGAACGAATTCCTCGCAACAATCCCATCTACTTCTTCTAAAACTTGTAGTCTCGAGGTGGTATGACTGCCGGACAGACCGCTCATACTGAATCATTATTGTTGAACCTAGTCCACTTATCCCTCAACTGACTAATCAACTTTTTATAACTCAAGGTTCCCAATATAAAACATAATCACAAACCCAATTATCCCTTCATATCACTTAGCAAACCCCACGCGATCTATTATTCCGTCCGTACTTGCAACCTGAAACCCAAATACTAATACTGCCCAAACACTGAAGCTGCTTGAAACAACGTGTTGCTACTTGGCTGCTTTCCAAAATCTACTGAGACCTTCCTGGTTTCAATTCATTTGCCAGTCATCTAAGATACCGAGTTCTAGCACGGCTACGGAGCTAAAAGAACTCCCACACAGTCGTCACCACACGAATTTCAAACAAAATCCTTTTATGTCAATAATTAACACTAGTTATCTTACCACTGTGGCTCTAACGACCTTTTGATCTAACTGATCAGGTCCATGCTTCGAGTCCGAAAGTCACCAACTCCAAGGCTAAAAGTGATTGCTACTTGTCCAATGGTAGCCTTATATCACAAACGACCTTAAGCAGTCCATTACTTCCTTGATCTCATAATTGTAGTGGCGTTCTGACAGTCTTATCCCTGGCTCCACCAGGTCTAATCCCTCAAGGGAAATCCATAAACCAATCCTTAGATTTGCCACGCCCTCACTGTTACAACCGAGCAGGTGGGTACTACTGTTCCTTACGCGATCTAACAACACTCCCATGCTATCTACCAACCTAGTGAATGCTACGGCTACATCTGCAAATAGGATGCAAATGTTTTTATCGAAAAACCATCTCATGATCGGGTTCCAGTTTGGGTCAACATATTTGGCATCCCTCTCCAACTTTGAATAAAGATGGTCTTAGTCTCATTGCAAGAAAACTTGGTAATCCTTTGGAGGTTGATTCTTGCACTACCTCCATGTGTGAGCAGGCTACGGGTATAGCGGTTTATGCTCGTATTCTCATTGAGATGTAAGCTAAAGATCCTTGGGATAAAGAAATAAAAATCAAAGCGTTCACGGCTAAAGGCGCAAACTGTACTTCTTTCCGTGTGGAGTACTCTTGGAACCCAAAGAGATGTGAATAATGCAAAGTTTTTGGTCATGACCATGCCACCTTCCCTACTCACACGACTAGCACTCTCGTCCCAAAAGACGGTTATGCCCACCCCGAAAGAAGTTGACAAAGAAGGTTTTCAAACGGTTAAAAGAAAAACAAGAGATTTCCCTCTCCCTAAAAAGATGATTCAAGTCGACAATCGTAAAGATAAAGGGCCCGCTTTAAATATTGCTCAAGTCTACAAGCCAATCATTCATGATCCGAGCAAGAAAAATGTGTCGGCCAATATGTTTGATCCTCTTATGCACCAAAGAGTTGACGACTCCCAAGTATACTCTTGTATCCCTAATGTTATCCATTCTAGAGATGCTCACCCAACAACTATTGCACATACGAGCTCCTCTCATGGTGGTCGTATCTCCTCTCTAATTAACTAGGGATGACGATTTAGGACTTTTTTTTTAGTTAGTTCTTTGTTTTGTTTGTCTTGCTTTGGGGCATGTCCTTAGCTTGGTCTGTTCTTTTTTTTTTCTAGGGAGTTTGCCTTCTTTCTTTTGTAAATTTTATTAATAATTTTTGACAAGGGTAATCCCTTTTATACAACAAAAAAAAATCCAAAATTAGGGTTTTTCTAAACCCTTATTTGGGTTTCCAACCCAATGATAGCTCAATAAGCCCAAAACTAAGTCTTTAGATCAATTAGGGTTTTGTTAGGTCAACTAGGGTTTCATTAGCCAGGCACCACCCACTACCACCTCGGGTAGTGGTGGTCAACAGCGGCATCCACCACCTCACTATGGTGGTTATGGTTCTAGTCCATTTTTGTCCAAGTATCCCAAACAAAGTCTAAACGTGAACAAAGCACACCACCACCCAACACGGCAGCTGGTGACGGCAGCTACCACCTCATGGTAGTGGATATGAGTTTTCTTTTCATTATTTCATCACTGATTAAAGTTTTACAATGCAATACCATAAAATAAATACACACACTACGATAAAAACCCTAAGAAACACACACACACACACAACCACCCTTGTGGTGATCGGCGGTATATGGTAGTAGCCACCACCTCACGGTGGTGGTGGTGGCTGTTCTTGGTTTTCTGGCCAAACAAAACACACACCTACAACTGAAATACACACACAAAACACATCTATTGCTCAGGAATGAACATGACCACCTACCTCAAGGTGGTGTACGGAGGTCCGACAACACCAGCAACATAGCGTCCAACGACAACAACAACAGCACAACGGTGGTCATGACGTTTGGCAGCCGCCTATGTCAGTTCACGAATCCTCACCAGAAAATGCACACACCATAATTTCTTACCTGCTACACTCACACGCCACATCTGATAGGTTTTATACATAACAAACAATCATATGTGGCATGCAACCCTAATTTGAGGATCTATGTTTTCATTATTAGACATACAAACATTGAACACAAAAACTAGAAACCCTAGGAGGCACATGTAATTTTCAAAATTAATATATAATTAGGATCAGGATACATCCTTTATTGTTATATTGTAATAACAATCAAATCCTTGAAGATCTTGAACTTTGGTAGCAAGCGCCACAAGTATCGTGCCTCTAATGGATCACAAACAAACCTAGCAACCAAGGATTACTATGGAGAGAGAAGGGAAGTGGAAAATTAGGCCCTAGCCTCTCTTGGAGTGCCCTTAGATGAAATCCAACCATATAAGGGTTTATATAGGTGATAAAGAAGGTTTAGGATAAGGCAGGTGTTTCTTAGATAACCCTAATCCCTTAACTTCATCCCTAAGGCTTCCAAGGCATCCTTAGAGCCAAAGGAAACCCTAGGACACTCTAGATTTCGTTCCATCCCTCTAAGGGAGGTTCTAGAATGCTCAATGCTCAAATTTTGAACATTGTCACCTTTAGTCCCTGCAGTTTCAATTAATTCCTTTAATCCCAAAATTAATTCCAAATTAATTTTTGATTAAATATTAAGTAAACAATATGATTTCTAATTAATATATTATATACATAATACATTAATAATTTAATTTATTAACCAAGTAATAAATTAATAAATCTTTATTCTCTCTCCAACAATAATCCTATTCAATTGCCAGGTTTGAAGGCAACCCAAAAGGACATTGCTACTATCAATTCAAGTACATACCAATTACAGTTATGGGCTTAGACACCTAATCTAACAGTATCCCACTTGGATAAGTCTATTAACTATAGTTGTAAGTATAAATTCAAAATTGACTAGAAAATTTTAGCTACCAAAAGCCGTTGTCGAACTTTGATCTTATCAGTGATGTGTCCTTAAGATAAGGGATCACATATTCCTCCATTCTAGATATCGTATAGACTGAGACATGGATTTTAATCATTCTCTCTATCCATGTGTTGTTTCTCGATTTCCAATTTATGACAACTGACAAAAGACTACAATTAAACACATCAACTTAGTCCCGACTTGGCCAAGCGCTTAGGTGTCATCATTAAATCATCGAGGGGCCCACAAATATCGCTTTTATCCACTTTGGGTAAAAGGAACAGATAAAATTCGACTCTAATTCTGGCTTGTATCTACTCATCAAATCACACATAACAATATGATTTATAACACCAAGTTACTGGTGTGTTTACATATTATCAATGTGCAACCGACTTGCAGAATACAACTCACACTTCTTGGTTTCAAGAATATAAGATATTATCATCTCACCAATTACTCTTGATAAAATCCATGAAGCGATCTAAGTGAGCATGGGTGTAATCCAATACTCTAATATTATAGCAGCACTCAAGAACTCTGCAACAAACTTGTGCTATATCTAAACACTTTAGACAATCTACAGACGGATTCATGATAGTATTCATTCATACTTACTTCCAAAGTATGGGCGAATGTGGAGGATTTGAATAATCTTATTATTCGGGAAGTCAAAACATGCAAAGTGAAACACAAGAATAATACTAATCATATATGACCCCAAACCTTTGAGTATAAATAAAACATTTTTTTATTTAATCACCATATTGATTACTCGTTTTTTGTTGTTTCGGGTAATCAACTTCTTACTTGAATTATAACAACAGTTTTCCATGCACCAAGCATGCACACTATGTTTACCTATGGTCCTTACTTCGTGAAATAGATTAAATGAACATATTTCCAATGATGCTCATTTCATAATTCCTAATCCTAATCATTAGTGTAAGAATACAAAGTTCTTGCCACTAGTAGAATATGTTAGATTCTAACATTTTATGCAACAATCCTTTTGTAATGTCACGACACAAAAGTCACCAAGACTCGGCCAATGAAATTACGAAGTGCTCTATTGGAGATTGTTACACGATAATCCCATAGATGTGAAGTCTCACATTCAAAGTACATTCCTTTGAACATCCTTCTTGCATAAATGTTTCTAATCTAGACATAAATTCTTAAAGTTCAACTCCCAATATGGAAACATTTCCATATTTGCCATATGACAACTCATTCTAAATAGAATCTTGTCTATTCATAATCATGTCAATATGGTCCATCCATTAGTATACTTCCAACTGCTCATAAGCAACCAATCCTTGGTGAACATTAGATTGTCCTTGATAGTTGTTTTATTATTTTAGTCAAATCCGGTTCTAGTCCCTTTTTCCCTCTTAATGCCCTAGACATTTGGAAAACTTTGGAATAGTCAAATATTACAACATATGCAATCATTCCTATACGAGAAGCGTATGGGACACGATTCATAATGTTTTACATAAAAGCATGATACTTTATCAGCCATTTGACATAATATTTCTATTTGCCACATTCTTACAATTCGAACTATGAAGAGGGACGCTGTAATCATAATCGAATTTTGAGAATGCAGTTAATATATCCTTGACTAAATTTGATTAAAAGTTCTCAATCTAAGCTTTTAGATTTGAAAAGAAGTATAACATTCTCTCCCTTAATTATTGCAAAACAACTTTTCAACCCCTTCAACTTTGCAAAGTGAAACTTTTGTTTTCTATAATTAATATTGCCAACCTACAACACTTAAAATAATAATCATGCTCTCACTATCATGATGATTATATCCATTTCAAAATACAATTTAAGCTCCCACTAGCTTTGACATGTATTTAGAAATCAGTTAAACTTCTAGAAAACAATACTTATTGACTTCCAAAGTTCATATTTTCTAATACGATATGCTTTAATAAGCCTTTATCTAAGCTTCTCAAACTCATACACCTTTCCTTAGATAGCTCACATGTGTGTCTAAACTAATTCAGAACTTATATTACTAAGTCCCAAACGTTCAGACTAATCGCCAAATCTCATAATTCGAATTATGAAGAGGGATGTTGTAATCATAATCGAATTTGAGACTGCAATTTACATAATCGATATCTCCTTAAAATCTTTCTTAGTGAAAGCGTTTCCTCACAATCATTTTCATGAAGGAGAGAAACCTTATGACACTTACATTTTATGGTGTATGTGTTCCTATCCATGTGAATTTGTCATAACCATCATCGTAAGATAATGTTCATGAGAAATCCAAACTCATATGGACAGAACTTGTTCATACTTGATTTCTTGCCATCAAGGGTCCTACCATTGCTTCCAAGTTATTTAGTACTTCACCTATACTTGTCAATGTTGTTTCATTGAACAAGGTTCTTGCCTTTATGCAGTCTATTGAGAACTCATAGAACTCATATGGATAGTTTACTAAACTGGAATGGAACATAAACATGGATATGTCAACACGATAGGTTACAAACCTCAAGTCGTGCGCTAGTGTTTAATAATAGGTTTACTCTTGATTAGATCTTGAAACTTTTCAAGATCATTTAGACTCCCACTGACCTCTTGACATATAAGTTTCTCCTAGTCAAGAAACATTTCTTGACAAACAAATATTCAATAGTTAGTGTGGATTCTTATCAAGACAAACACTACACACAATTGGTATTATGTAACAACGTGAATTTTCAAAACAATTTTTCATTTTCAAAACATACATTCATTCATAAAATAATATCAAAACATAATGTATCGAAAGTTATCATAATAAAACATCTCCCAAAATCTCAAAACATAAACTCCATGAGTGTGTACGGATCATGTCGACGCCTCCCGCGATCCTCATTGTTACCTGAAACACATAACACAAAACACTGTAAGCATAAATGCTTAGTGAGTTCCCCAAAATACCACATACAACACATATTAGTTACTCGAGGCTATAACTCTGTATGACCCTCTGGTTACTGTTTCTCAGTGGGACCCTCCAGTCCCATAACTCTGTGGACCCTCTGGTCCTAACTCTGTGGACCTTTCGGTCCTAACTCTATGAACTCTGAATCATACATAACACAAATCACATAGAAATCACATCATACAAAATCATACAAGATACTCTGTCACATAACTCTA